CCTTTTCTTTTCGATGCCTAGTGGAAATTTGGTATTATGGATACTTATCGCACTTTAAACAATAAAGAGAATTAATTAAAATTTTTAATTTTGTGGGAAAACGCAATTAAAGTTTGATCAATTTTTTTGAGCAATTTTTGGGGAGTTTATTTATCTGTTGAACCAATCGTTTTATCCTTATCTAGCTTATTAATTGTATGATAAAATCTCCGTAAACGTAAATCATGAATTAATACTCCTTATTTTTAAACTTGTAGTACACGTATAATTTTTCTTTTTGTTAAAAATTTTCAAACTTTATTTCGATTATTTTTTTCCACAAGAATTACGAAAGTAAAACACTGTCATTGTTTGAGGAACTCCAACTCGATTTCAATTGCTATCATCAAACACATTTATCAAATATACTACGACGTGTTCGAATAAAGGAGAAGAGTAGCAATAAATAATGCTCAGCATTTGCATTTCTGTAAACAGTTTGACGCATGAAAAAAAGACTGTGAAATTAATCGCCATAAAAGTAAAATCACTGGCGCCAACACATATCAGACGAGTTGAATTGATTTCACATTCGCAACGCTCTCTTAAGAATATTAATTAAAAGGGGCCAAAATAATAAAACAATAATTCACAAAATATTATCAGCCAACAACAACACTCACAAAAGTATTTGTCAAAATTTGCATTTTAATTAGAACGTGAAATCCTGGTATACATAGATATCCATTAACTACAACGTAGTCCATATTCATCTTCTTCTTATTATTATTATTATTCTTCTTCTTCCTCTTCTACTTCTTGATTGACGCTGCAACCGCTTAAGCGATTCTGGCCGAGCACGCTAGTTGTTGCTCTTCTGTGCCGACTAACGCCATAAGGAAACCCCAAGTGAAGCCAAGTCCTTCTCCACCTGGTCTTTCCAACATAGAGGAGGCCGCAAAAAAAATCTGTTCCATTTTTTACGTTCGCATTATAAAATGTATTATATTTTTGTGCTTTCGCAAAAATATTTTGGAAAAATATTTAGATTTAGGACAGCTGGACCGTTTTGAAAATACAAACCACAAAAAACCGAGTTGTTTATAAAAAAACTTGTTTAAAAAAAAAAAAAAATTTTTTTGTTAAAATCACATCTGATGATATGTAGGAGAGTTTAAGCTTTAAAGGTCGTATGCATAAAAAAACTTGACAATTTTTATCAACGTATTCGAAATATATAATGAGATTATTGAAAATATTTTCAAATCAAAATGTCCAGCTCACGCAAATCTTAATATTTAAATATAACAAATTTTTTTTATGGCGATGCACCCTAATGTACATAAATATGCAAGTAAATTAGAATCAAAGTGAAAATTAACGAACTTCGTTATATGATCATTAAAATTAGTCGTATTTTTGTTGATCGTGAAATTCTCTCCCAACCACTTACGATGCCAGCGCCCTTTTGTGTTTGACCCAATGCGGTGCAATTAAAAATTTATCTTTTTTTTTCTTTGGTGCGCAATTAGAAGTTAGGTAATAAAATTAATGGAAACAATTAAAATTGCTGGAAAGTGCACTTAGGCACAGTTAAAATCGATTAAAAAAAGGAATAAATACTTGACTTCCAAATGTAAATTTGGCTTTCAACGAAAATCGTAAAAAAATCTACTCAAATTAATTCGTTGCATTGCTGGCGCTTGCGTCAAGAAATGAACTAATTAAATTTAAATGAACACAAATTTCTTAATTCAATTTAATGTATTTGTTGGTCGCCAAATTTTTACGATTTTCAAAACGACTTTCTTCTTCAAACCAAGTGCCCAATTGCATCATATGTATATGGACCCTATCCCAAATCGAATCGTATGCCGCAAATCGGCTATCGTTAACACGTTCGATTTGTGGTTTGAGTCTAATTAAAAGGCAGATATAAAATAAAGCCTAATGTTTACTTATGTGATTCAATAAATAATTTGCAAGCAAAAAAATCCCAAACAGTTTCGCACTTATTAAAAGAACGTAAGTATCCGGTTTTGAATAATTCAGCGAAGGTGTCAACTTTTCGATACGAATTCAAATTTTTAATTTCGACATTTTTACACGTTTCGATTGGTGCAAAAAAAAATGATCACCCACAAAAGTGCAATAGCCCCAGTTAAATCAAGTGCATACTTATTAATCACGTGTCACCCGATTATCCAGTAATCGGATGTCAGTTACTTACGCATTGCGGAACAAAACATTTCATTGAGTTTTTTAACCCAGAGCAGAAAAGGCTGGTGGCCGATGTTGTAAACAAAAATATTTTTTGCCTTTTTATGTCGTAATGTCACGTTCATGAGTTCAGTTATGACAGGTGTTGTTTATGGTAATAACAGTACATAAGTCAATTAAAAAGTCATACACATTTTTAAAACTACCAAAAGCGTAAAATATCCATGTACAAACATGCCTTTTAGGACCGAAAATGCAAATGCAGAGTCTGCACGTGAATACCAAAAATTCTCGTACATGTAATGTATCTACATATGTGTGTCCATTAGAGTTTTCCAAAAATGCATGTGAAAAAGTAAAGTCGAAAAAATATACCCCTATTATTTTTTTATTTTTTTTAACAAAAAAAAAATGTTGGCAGTGCTCAAAGCGCTCAAAGTTTTCCATGTATTTTATATGGGGAAAAAACAACCTTTCGTAGAAATAGTGTTGAATTCTCGAAAATCAATATTTTTCGATCGCGAAACTATGGTTCTCTTCAGGAGACTTCCAATAATAATACCCAATTGTTTCTTTAACATTTTTTTATGGTAACTATATGTTATAGGTCCGCCAAAACCCACAGAAAATGCTGTTTAGTATTTTTGGACGACTCTATTTCCATACATACAGTGGTGGCCACATAAATGGGAAGACAACTTCTTTAGAAGTTTCGATCATTAATTTTTTTATTTATTTTTATTTATTTTTTTAAATTTAGTCCATACTACAGCGAAAACCATATGCTAACTTCAGGTTTTAAACCTTGTACAACAAAAAGTGAAATGATTTTTGAAAACCGTTTTGCTCGACTTTACTAAAAGCACGTTACCCGTAGAAGAGGCTGTTTACATTGTTTCATTTCCTAGAAGCAACAAGAAAATGGTGAAGCAAAGTGTGTCTCGGCGAGCCCTCCCTAATTTGGACCACTGAAATACATAAATAATGTTCTATAATCTCGATTTCCTTTATATCACTGCTGTTACGACAGAAATCATTTAACGTCCCATCAAGCAGTGGCTTGTGAAGACCCCGATTACACGTCGAAGCAGTGGTCGAATCAGTCGGAAAAGTGGGTTAGATGTTAGGGTTTAATAGCGCTGCCACAGCATCAGAGAGGTACTCCAAAAATCTGCCCTTGCGCTTTGAGCTCTTCGCGCTGTTGCTGAGTGGAGTGTCGCTGGAGTTTGGGGTTTGGTTGGTTGTGCTTCATCTTATTACGACTTCCTGCTCGTTGAGGTAAGCCCAGCGGTCAAAAATCGTCCGCCGTACCAATGGCCCATGATGCGGTAAGTCCACAGTTAGTCCTCGATGCGGCCCGGTGTCGAAAGGAAGCCGTTCAATCGTGAAAGAAATTCTGAATCCGTAAACTAAGCTCTTGCTAGTAAACTACTTATTACCTTGAAGTATAACTTAAAGACAACAGTTTAAGTAATGCAGGTTCAAAACTAGGTCCTCTTCTCATTCTCGCCTAGAGGGAATCCTTGTTCGGCTAAAGTTTCTGAGAAAGTACCTAAATATCATCATGCAACATCTACCTTAATTGTGTAGCAAGGTTTCTAGGGATTTTGTCGGCGTTGAGGGTAAAAACCATTTATTCACCAGCCACGCCACCCTCAGAACCTTGGCTAGCTTATTTCTTATTGTTGTCTTATTCACGACTACTATAATGCCTTACAAAGAAATGAGACGTACAACCGCTGTGGAGATCTCAAACAATGTAAAGATTCAAGTCCCATTAAATCCTATAAACTTCCTAAAGTGCTTTCTCGGCCTCGTTTCACTTGGCTGTCATCTCGTAACATCCGAATATCACCTCTATGAAGAAAGAAATATGCTGTGGGTGAAAAATTACAACACACTGTTATCCCTACTTCGAAACGTTGCGACACGTGAGACGACACCTGCGCGACTGAATAACGGACAACAAGCCATTTTACGAAGCGCCAAATAGAGCGGCACTCAACAAGCCTCAAAGCGATCACATCGTTCTAGGACGTAGACCGCCGCCAAACCCGAACTGCCGAGGGTGGCCAGATACACCCTACCGCCGTTGGGGGTATTGCATTATGCTGGGCTCAGAAGTCGCAAATAGCTGCCTAAAATGCGACCAAGGTCCACACGACACCTCTTCGCATACACCTCCAACAACCCGACAAAACTGAGACCGGAAGCATAAAGAACTGTGCCTATCGACATGGCCCGCTTCTTGGGCCCCAGGCTTGACGAATCAGAGGATTAAGAAGATTATATCCATGGGGGGTTTAATATGCTCCTACAAAACAACGAACACTTTGTTCATACATATATTTTATTTAGATTTTATACAAATGCAAAACATTTATTGTTCTAATATTAGTTTTCATTTCTTTAAAAAATAAACATGTTATATGGCCGTTACTACCAGGGTTGCTTCCACCTCTAAAAAAAAAAATTACTGAGTTGAGTGTTCTTTTGTGAGTGGAGAAACAATTCTATGAACTCACAGCAATAGTTGCGTTCCAGATGCTTCACGATTTGCAGGTTTTTACAGGAAGTCGTTCCAGGTGACCACCTCCCATAAGGTTTATTAATAGGGAAAACAGCTGTTCCTGCAAATCGTGAATTTCGTGAATATCGTGAAGCATCTGGAACGCAACTAATGTTAATCGATATTTTTATCGACTCAATTAAAATGGCACTATTTGTTCTTTCACACTGGCAGCGCTGCCATTTGTAAACCCATAAAAACAGCTGATCAGCGGCGTCCATTAATTTTTTTCGGCTGATAAAAAACACCGGCTTTTCTTGCATTCGCGCTATTTTGTTGAATTTTTCTGATTAAAAGTGTATATTGGCGTGCCAAAATTTCTCAAAATGAAGGACTTAAAACTAAAGGCCATGTACAACAACGTGATATCGCAAGCCATTTCGGAGTCTGGCCGTTTTTTGTTTGCCGGCAATCGCTTTGGTGATATTTTTGTCCAAGAGTACGTGAGTAAAAGATTTTATAGTTCCTTAATTACATTTCCATTTGCTTCTGCAGCCTTCATGATCTAGAAAAAAGTGATGCTCCTCGGTCCAAGGTACGCGTTTTCCCACAGCCTGCCCAAACGGAGATTAACAGCCTTTGTTGCCATCGTGATTTCCTTATCGTGGGTGCCATTGGCATCATATATGGCCTAAGCTGGAACGAAGAAAAACGGGAACTGAGCACTATCCGCAAATGGGAGGTTAAAATTCCGCTCGACGTAGATGCCGTTGAGGTACCCGATGTAAATTTTCTGTGGCTACGCGCAGAAACAGACACACTATATGCCGGTTGCGGCGACAATGTAATTTATCAAATTAATTTGGAAAATGGCAGCATCGTAAGGGACTACCGTGGTCACACTGACTATATACATGGTGTAGCAGGCAACGAAAAAGGACGCATCTTTTCCGCTTCCGAAGATGGAACGGTACGATTTTGGAGTGAACAACAGAAAGAAGCAATCGGCAAATTAGCACCAAGTGAAAATGCTCAATTAATGCGGCCAGAGTATGGGAAATGGATAGGCGCAGTTGCGACAAATGAAGATTGGTTAATTTGTGGAGGCGGACCAAAGTTTTCCATATGGCATTTGGGCACAATGGAATGCATGCGCGATTTCACTTTTCCAGGTAAGGTGCACGTTTGTGATTTCGTAGAGGAAAATCTATTTGTGGCTGGCGAGCATAGCCATGCACAGTTTTATGCGATGAATGGTGATATACATGCCAATGTACCCTTGGAACACACAGCAGCCTACTCAGTGGTGTGGCAGCTGGAGCCAATAAAATTCATGTCCATTGCAGGCTACAGCAACAAATTGCATATATTAAATGATTTTCGCTTCTTAGATAGTAAAATTGAATTATACGGAAATACAGAGTAATATTAAACCGCTCATGAGAATAATTCAAATTTTATTTATTAGCCTACTTCAAAAAAGCAGGAGGTTATCAATTCTTCGAAATATATATTTTTCTTATGTATGTTATTGCATAACCTTGGATCACATTAACCGATTTATATGATTGTGTCTTTTTTTTTTTAAGGAAAGGTGTTAGGGTTTAGATCCGATCATTGGATCACGAAGAAATCAACTATAATCTAAAATTCTTATATGAGAATGGAAGCAGGTTTTGTTTTTTGCTTAAAAATTACTTGTACATATTCATATCTACATATATTTATCATCAGCTTTTTTAAAACGATGGTAGTGTTGAAACCTCTTTGTTTTCACAGGCGTTTTTAGTAATGAACATTAGCTGAATCTCGTCCTTTTTCACATTATCAACGAACTTGCAATCGCCAAACATTAGCTCATCACTATTTATATGAAGAAAATATAATTAAGTATTAATTTAAGTACTTTAGCTGACAATTAGAATGATTTTTCTACCTCTTCGAGGCGAAATTGTCCAACATTGTTACGAATTTTTGTGAAATTAGTTTCTCATCAGCTCGAATTTTCGATCTGCCCGCATTACTAAACATCAGAAAAAAGTCGTCTCCATGAACCGTACCTACAAAAAAGTAGTTTTTAATGAAACCTTAGTATCAATAAATAATGTATGTATTTGTTTTCAACATACCCATTTTTACGTCCCTACGATGTGATAACGCCTGTCCGATGCCCTCATCAGCAGGGTTGTCGTACACATAAGCGTAGATGGGACTACGTCCGCGTGCGCGCTGCAAGCGTATTGCTTGCTCCACTCCGTTTCTGAAGAGCACGTCCGTATACATACGCTGCACATGTGAGTACGTGTCAATGGAGAATTCTTTATCACCTAAATAGCGACGTTTTAACGCAACAGAATAGTCATCCATTTGCTCTACACTCTTCATAGTGTCCTTATAAAATAAATTGTATGGCGCCAAGTCATACCAACGGTCGTTAAAAACTTCGATCAGCTCCTCCCTACGCGGTGAGCGTTTTAACAACTCAGCAGCATTGTAACCACCATCCTGTGCTGCATAGGACACCAACCAAGGTAGTTGTGCGAAATCGCCCGATTCAACTATATCCCGCGGGAAACGCGTTAGAAACGCATCCTTGACTGCTCCGTCTTCTATGCTTGGCCCAAATGTGGTAAACGGATTATAGCCGAAGACCAAAAATTGTTTGACGCCACGCACAATCGCCGTTGCTGGCTTACGTTGTAAACATTCTTTAATTGATTGTGAACTACTTACATCTGGACAATCGAGATTTTTGGCCAATTCAAATGCACGTTCGCGAGTCTTATGGCTAATCGCCCACGGATTAAATGCAACACCACTAAAAGAGGCAGCCACGCGCGCATATTCTGTTAGATTGCGATTAGCCAAAATATGCAAATGCACAGCCACACCGCCTGAAGAGAAACCCAATAACATAATGCGCTCTGGATCACCACCAAAGCAAGCAATATTCGCCTTAATCCACTGCAGCGCCAAACGTTGGTCTTTCATGCCAAAATTACCCGAAATAACGGAGTCTTCCGTGCTGAGAAACCCAAGCGGACCAAGACGATAACCCATTTTAACCACAATTACGCGACCGTTACGCATAAAATGCTCATGACCATTTGCGCGCACTGAACCAAACATAAAAGCGCCACCGTGTATAAGCACAAGGACTGGAAGAGCAGCTTGTGTGCGGCCAACCTCGACCAACAACTTTGGTTTGTAAACATTCACAGTGAGACAATCCTCAATGCCATGAAGCTTATCTACGCCAGCTTTGTACTGATCCCATTGCATGCACTCGATGGGTTCACGTGTCGCATCGAACGTGTCTGACCAATTTCCCGAGTATGGTCGTGGTGATTCGAATCGCAGTGGGCCAAGTGGTGGTTCTGCATATGGAATCGATTCATAACTGTAAAAGTAATCGTTGTCTCGGCCACGTATTCTGCCATTAGGTAAATCAACAATTAATGCATTATCAAACTCATTTGTATTGGCTCCACAAATTTCAGAGAACAAAGCGTAAATTAAAACCGTTATGTAGAAAGGAAAAAATTGGAAATGCATTCTGACGCGTGGTCAATAATTGACTGACTATGAAATGTTTTAAGCTTCAAATTAATTAGCTGGATTTGTATGTAAGTATGTATAAGATTTGTACATTTATAGAATTTGCATAGTTGCATATGTATTTGTGTAAATATTTTGTATTTATTTTCGTTTTCTAAAGAAAGGGACTGAGCGCAGCAAGAAAATACTCTATATATTTTTTGCTTCTATATGCCAAATCTACCTAATATACCTAATTAATCCTATTTTTTTGTATGTTAGTATATAGCCTAAGGATTAGTAAACACCAAACTGTAGTAAAATAGTAAAGTCATCGATACTTTTGATTTCACTTTCAAGCTAAAACTTTCGCCTCGTACATATGTATATATTATCATATATGTATATAGTATGTACTATTCGTATTTGCTAATTTAACGAACAATGCACATCATCTTATCTCAACATAGACTCTGACCTTTCCAAACATTTGCTGAATGTATGTACATTAGAGTGGCCCAATTTTTGTATGGAAAAAAAATCATCCCAGAAAACGGGGCACCCCCTTAGTTTTTTTTCATTTTGATATTTGTGATGTCTATACCAACTTTCAGTTTTCTACTGCAACCAATACAGGGTGCTCAATGACCTTGAAATGCGTTATTGGATCGCTGTGAAACTGGGAAATTCATTGGTGATTTTTATAAAAAGCTACTGTTGCCATGACAACTGAAGCTTGTGATATTTTAATAGATAATTTAAATTTGAAATGTTCTTAGGTTAAATAACCAATCGATTTATTAATATACATATGTACACAATACTTCCAGAGTAAAATATGAGCATAATGAGCATCCTCTAAATGGATACTTAGAAACTTAAGGTTTGGTACCAGTACCCCCAAACCCTATCTGGGGAAATTTTTTTTTTGGACCACTCTAATGTATGTACATACATATGTATTGTGTATAAAAGCATATGTACATGTTTCCATGTATTTACATATATATAAGCAAAAATACATAAAGCTTTGCATAACATATAGCTTTCATTTATGCATGTATGTACGAAAATATGTGTATAAAATATGTATGTTATGTATGTATGTACATACATATTTGCATTGTGATTAATTTAGAGTCTCACCTTCCTCGCATATTAATATTAAATCATCATTGGCTCCTTTGATGAATGTTCATATTTAGTAAAAGAAAATATTCAATTAAAATACTATAATCGCCTGATGGTCTTATCTAAATGGGGCAACGAAAACTCATATCTCAAACTATAATAAGTTCTTGATATTAAACCTTTAAATGTAAGAGAAGTTATAGCTTGATTAAAAAAAAAAACCAACTATCGTAAATAATTTTGAGCGCAATCAAACTAGATAAGCACCTGGTGGTTTCATAATCTAAACAAAAAAAAAAAAAAAATCGTAAAAAGTCTAAATTAAATATACAAATTGCCAACGACAATCACCATCAGGTGCGTTGCATTTTTGGCAAGAACTGTTCAATACATTCTATGCGTTCAAAAAATAAAACAAATTCCGTTTGAAATTTATTGTGAATATTATTTTAGAGTATTTAAGTAGTAAATACAATAAATATTTATTTGTATTTGCATCTTTTACATTACTAATATACATATTTTTTTTTTGTGTATAAGTATTACTTTAAAAATGCAATCGGAAAAATATCATTTAATATACGCGAAACGTTTCTATCAACATTTTTTTATCGGAAGATGCATACTGCAGAAGGCAAATCAACATGCCTGCTTAAATTTGCAAATAAAATTGCCTTTATAGTTTGAAAAGCGTTCTTCATCGAAAAAATTTATTTGCTTTTCAATTCGTTACAATTTTTTAACATAGATAAACATGATTAACAGCAATGCAAAGCATTTTCATCGGTATAGCACGAATCTGAAAAAATTGGCACAAAATATTCATAATATCTTTCATTAAAATGAGTTGAACTCGCGTACAATAGAATCGCGGCTAGTCTAATTCAAAAATCACCCACAATATAACCCCCGACTCTGTATGTACATATGTATGAATTTACCTACATACAGCAATGCTCACGAAAATAGCAGCACAACGTATTGACAAGTTTTGTCAATCTGATTTTCCTTTTATTTAATTTTAATTATTTATAAAAACTCAACAAGTCCCAACAAAACAGTATACAACCTTTTTTATCAGAATGTTTAGAAAACTTTTAAGTATGCAATTTTATAGTCCATTAAAATTTAGTATATAATATAGTGTGCAAGTTTGAGGTGGTTGAAAATTCGCGTTGATTTTTGAATTTTTTTAGTTTGACGGTATTGCGCCTTTTCTTCCATATAAAAGTGACATAAAGCATGCTCAAATTATTTTATATTGAAGAAAATTCCTTGACCGGCAGCAAAAATAGTAATTCAAAAATCTTAGCCACTTGAAACTTGCACTTTGTTATACTAAAATTTAATGGGCTATAAAACTGCATACCTTTTGCATTTTGGAGAAAATTTTATAATTTTTGTAGAAAATTTGAAATTTTGAATAAATGTTTATAAAAAAAAACTAAACTAAAAAAACTTGTTAATACGTCGCGCTGCTATTTTTGTTAAGACTGCTTTTTGAATAAGTATGAATTAAAATTTTTCCACTTAATGTTGGGCTTTCCCTATTATAATCCGTATTTAATGCTGCTTCACATTCTAAACATTTACAGCCAAATTCATAAAAAATAAAAAGGACTTTAACCCGCTTTGTAAATCGTAAATTTGTATGAAAATGTCACTTTATAGAGCTATTTAAACCTATTTTATTTTTTATGAATACGGCCATTAATGTGTCGGCTATGTGATTTTAAAGTTTACCTGTTCCTAATAAAATACATATTAAATATTAAAGCATGCGCAAGTAAAATTAACACTAAACTCGATCTCTAAGATAAATAATTTTACTTCAAATTTTTAACGTCTAGTTTATTCCTCCGGTGTCCAAAGTAAATGTTATGCTCTAGACTCTTCAGCAGTCAATGCTTTTGTGTTGTTTTGTTAACATACAATGTGCATATTAACAATAATATGACATTTTAAACTTAAATTCTAAAGGGTTTCCCACTAACAATATCAATAAGTACATTTACTTACATACACTTTTTATATATGTACAGTGGGATTAGGGCAAAGAGGCTTAAAAAACAAACATTTGAACTTTGCCCGCGTTATCTTCATTTGCATAATTTATAGAAATTCAATGCGGTTGCAACGAACATCATACGACGTTTAAATACAATTATGGCTATATACATACATACGTTCCCAAATAAAAGAATAAAAAATCTCGTAATTGTTAGATCTATCGCAAGTGCATGTGCATGCAAACGCATTTGAATTACTTTGACTTTGAATCCGTTTTCGACTCTGAACCATACGACGAAGCTTTGCTGATTTTAGACATATTGATCGACTTAATCATAAGCATGTAAACTGCGAGCATGGAAGGAAAAATAGAATTTAAACCAATATGCCACAGCAATACATCAATCGTTGTTACTTACTCGTCAAAAGTACGCCTAGAGCAATTGAAAGCCCAATCCAATTTTGCGAAAGAAACGAAGACACTAGATAGTAGAGTATTAGTGATATCGAGAATACAGCCCAACAAGCAAAGTTCAGCAGACTACATGTGCGATATTTGAAAACAGTAACCGGCACCTCTTTAATGCCCGAGGTTTCACAGAAATTGCCTGTTGTAAGGAAGCTGTCGACAAGGCGATCCTTTTCGCGGTACAAGTTATGTAGCCATTCAGCAGCTGCTGCCTCATTTTCCGGCACGTTTTCGAGTGGAATACGACGTGCAAACATGTGGCCTTCCACCGGCAGTCCATTTAGTAATGTGGAAATAGTCGGCGAATTCTGTATAAAGATGAGAGATTAAGGAGTTTATTGCATTAAATCATTTATGTTAACTGCCTGCATATCTATCTATTGCAACATTATGCACGCACCTTGGCATCCCTCTTGAAAGCCAAAGTAGTATCATAAATAGCTACACAGCGACCACGCATGGTCGGTAAGCTGGTAGTGAAGCCCTTCGTACGTGGTACCAGATGGTGCTTTAACACAGGCAAACCACGTTCCTGCGCAAACTTAACAGAGGCTTCGTGTTTCTTCGGCGTGAATCGAGTACCCTCAGCATTCAGCAACAGCCATACAGGATCTGGATAATCGAATATCTCTTTAAGCTGGCGTGCAATTATCTCGCTATCCTTGTCGAATGAACGTTCCAAAAACACAAATTCAGCAAATTTCCATGCCCAACCCATCACTGGCACATATGAAATGACTTTCTTGGCATATGCCTTGCAATTACCCAAGCAGCCAACTTTGTCGGCGAACATCCAACCACACAGCCAATCGATTTCATAGGAATGATTCTGAATTATCATTACATGTTCCTTGCCACAGAGCTTCTCCAAGTCGTTGGGATCCATGTACAAATGTAAATTACTATTCGCATACCATTCAGCGACAAAGATCAATTCTGAAATATAAAACGCATGGCGTTATGTTAAATGTTAAAAATATATTTGTATGTATGTACATATGTACACTTGTGGTCAGCTGATTAAGCTTAGTTAAAGGTGCAATCCCGTATTCCTCGGACTCGGACTAGTAAAACTGTCAAAAAATAAAAATTCGCTCAGAGCGAGAGAGTAACATTGAAAAGTACGGGATCGCTTTCTAGTAAAAAATGGTAACTTCTGTCAACTTCAACACAACCTCCAAATTTTGGTTTTAAATTTTTGCTTATTTTGTATGTAAACACACTCAGATCACACATGTAAATAACCAAAAATACTTTCAAATTCATTAGAATCCACTTAAACAAGTAATTAAATACTTTTTAACATGAATTAGCAGAGTGCACTTTTCTTTTGTTTACAATTTGGTTGCCAAACACACTACAGCTGATCGTTTGACACATTTACCAGAATTTACCAGCAAAAAAATCTCGGACTAAAACTGGTAACTTCTGACAGAGAGAGAACCGTATTTACTCTCTTTTTTGTCCTCTCAATAGTCAGAGAGCCGAGTACGGGATCGATTTCCAGTAAAATCTGACTGATTCTGACTATTTCTGACTAGTCCGGACTCGTACGGGATCGCAACTTAAGTGACATTTTGACCCGTTTTGGTTTTTTTCTGTTGTTTATTTAATGTTTATAATAGGTTTGTTCGTCGAAAATCCAGCAAGAATTATCCAACACTCAAAATATCAGAGAGTAAGAAAAAATTCTCTCAAATTCTCTCTCATGTTGAGAAACTTGCAAATTTCTGCACGAACGCAAATTTGCAAGTTTCGCTGCCAGCTGGCGTCCACGGTTGCATTTCAAACACAAAAAATTTTTATAGAATTTTTAAAATTCTTTCGGATGGCCAAAAACAGGATATACATGTATATTTCTTGTTGTTCTGACTTTCTTTAACATACATTTCAATTTCTTCATCGTACTAGCTGTCGGGTTTCTTAAATCGACTCTGGTTGCAATTGCATTCCGATTGCGAATACCATTTTTTTCAGCCGAATTAAGTTCAAATCATTGGAATTAACTAAATTAATTATTTACTTCCTTTTTTCATAAAAAAAATCGCTCGTGTTTATAAATTTTTAAATTTAACGAACTAATTTATTCAAATTATTGTAGACGAAAATGCAACCATGCGCCACAACCACATGTTTTTCGTGTTTGCAAATTCTTGCTGGCAAAATTTTTTCCAGCAAGAATTTGCAAGTTCTCTCCAAGAGAACTGTCACTTTGCTCTCACAATTTTTGAGTGTTGGATAATTTTTTGGTCTGCACGAACGCGATTTGGGCAAAAATCGTGATAATTCGTACAAATTCGTACAAATTTTTTGCTCGACGAACAAACCTAATTTTTTGTATAAAATTCCATAACCAGCACCACATAAATCCACATTTCAAACTTCGTGGAAAAATTATAAAAATTCAACAAACAACTACACCTAAAAATTTTAAAGTTTTTATTCCGAATTTTTAGAAAACTGTTAGGTATATAGTTTTATAGCCCACTAAATTTTAGTAGGTTAAATTTTCAAGACGACAGAAAATCTAGTTGATTTTTAATAATTATTTTCACTGACGGTATTGTGCATTTTCTTCCATATAAATCAAAAAAAAAAAGAAAAAAAAATCAACGCAATATTCTAGCGTCTTGAAATTTGCACTTTAATTAACCTACTAAAATTTAAATGACTAAAATTAAAAACAAAACAAAAATAGGCAAAACTGATCAAAGTGTCACTTAACTTAATCAGCCGACCACAAGGGTGTGTTATTATACCTAGTACAGGAACTTACGTGAATACAGCGAGTAGCAGAGATAATACATGATGTGTCTGAAGAGCTTTGTATTGAAGGGTTTCAATGCCACATACAATATCAATTGCACCAGATTAATTATCAAACCAGACACAAAAAATGTCACCGCAATGCCCAAATGCACAAGCGTTAGCTTTTTAAGTTCCACCAAAGAGATCATGATTGACGTAATTTGTTTTTTAATTCTTCGACTTGAACTTTGAATTCATGTAAAAAAAACTGTAAAAGAAAAAGCCAGATGTTTGTTGTTGAGGCTAATAACCGATAAGAATTCAAAAATTACTTTGATAAAAACATTCTAGGGTTTATACATACATATATATGCACATATACGTAATACATACATACATACGTAATACATAATTGAGTATGTATATATGTACATACATACATATATATGTATATCAGTCTCTAATCGAAACTTGATGTGGTTTTAATTTTTCATCTAAAATGCGTTGATTGCATAAAACGAAAACAAACCCTGGAGCACGGAGCACTAACATTTTCCAGCCTTACCCCAGAGCTTAATGGTATTATTATCAATCAATCAAATTACGGCCAGCTCACTTATTCTATTTTATCTTTTTTATTCTATTTCTGGCATTACCGACGATTTGTGCACTACCGATCGCTGCAAATGAACATGAAAGACTAAAATTTTCTCCAAACAGGTATCAGTTCGCGATCGAAACTCGTACAGAGAGCTTTTATAAATATCATCAACAACAACTGAAACCCTACAGTGAATAGGTGCATAATAAAATTCTCAGCGGACTAGTCCATTTCGGAACGATACCAGTTTTCCCAAACGGTAAACACTTTTTTTTTATTTATTTTTTTTCCAACGATAAAGTAGTAAAAAACAAACCGGAACTTGTATCGGAAGAACAAAGAAGGAGCCAAATTCTTGGCGGGTTTTAAAGAAAATAGAAAGCGTCTAGCACAGAAATGCTAATTAACATTTTCATTTGTGCATTGGATTAGTACACACAATCTGCTTTGATTAAAATTGTATTGCTGTACCATATACACACACATACACTCACAGACGGGAAATCAAAGCGATATATCGATTGTTTTTGAGACTCAAAATAAATCACTTCAAACGCCAGCAATACTTTAACGAAGCGTTATTATGCTTTGAGATTGTTAAAATGTTTAATAAAAACTTTGCTAAATTTTAGCAAGAGTATGTGTAGTGTTACGCGAATGCTAAAAACCAATATATTAATTAATGCATTCTCACAGACTTACTACTAACATTACACAGGTACAATGAACACAAGAGTAAATTGTGTGCTTCTTCAAATGGCTGCTGCAGCTGACTTCTGGCAACCCAAATGGACTTGTGTCAACAGCTCAGCCCAGTTGACAGTTCACTTGACTTATGTACATATTTCTCAAGTGGATTAATTTTGTTTTTATGTTTTCGCAAAATTCTGCTTGCTTGTTTACTTACCATTAAAGGTAAATTTGTAAGCATTGATTTGATTTCGTTTTGCTGCAACTTGCAATTTATAATAAAAAAACTAAAATCTCTTCATGTGGCAATGAGCGTAGTTTCTAAGATCAGCTGTTCTCGGCTATATGCCAATTTTTATATAGTCCTACTTCCTTTGTTACTTTCAAGTCTACACAATGACGTTGGAAGTCAATTGTGCGTTAATTAACTTGATTGCACAGTAAATAGCCATGCACTTGCAAATGTATGTACATAAAAATATATTTTTTATGTATCTATAGTTGTGAGTGTGCAATTTGCGTAATTTCATTCGAGTCTTATAAATAGCAGTGGTGTCCGAAGCCAAGTAAACACACATTGCTAAATCAATACGCAAAATAGAGATTGGGTGCACATTCGTACATACATACATACATACATACATACATATGTGCATATGTAGTATGCATGCATGAATATACTACCCTCCAGCTACAGTGTACACTAGGGCCCGGCCCACAAACAGTTAATAAACAACTGAGTCATTTTAGAAATCTTAGGTAATTTTATTCTATTAGTTCAGCGTCCGAGAGAAATTACTAAAAAAAAAATACTCCAAAAGTTCGGAAAATCAACTCCATGCCTTCAAATATTTTCCGTAACAGCGTCCCCGATAAAAATTTAAATCTAAACCCATTTTGTTTTGAGCAATTCTACTACATACAGTGGTCGAAAAAATTATAGCCGCATCACATATTGACAATTTTTAACAATTTATATTTTTGTTATTTAATTTTAGTTATTTTTTTATAAACAGATAGTTCATTCCTTAACCAAAACCGTAAAAATTTTTAGCTCTTTAATAATATTTCTTACAAAATTTTGCAGCTATGTAGCCCATTCAATTCAAGTAGAATAAAGTGCAAGTTTGAAATGGCTAAAAATTATCGTTAATTTTTTGGAATTTGTGCTGTCACATTAGCTTCCATATAATGAATGAACGCAAATCTTTATATAGAAGAAAGACGTAACATCTTCGAAAAAAAAATCTAATAAATCAACGGTAACTTTTAGTCATTTGAAACTTGCACTTTATTCTACTAGAATTCGATGGACTACAAACTGCATACTTGAAATCTTTCTAAGAGATCTAATTAAAAAAACTAAATTTTTTACGAAAGTTTGTTGATTTTTTTCCTAAATATTGCAGAGTTTGAAACTTGGATTTATTCGTTTTTGTTACAAAATGAACTATATATTTTTTCTTTTAAATAACTACAATTAAATAACCAACGAAAGAAATGGGGTAGGCATATATAAAAAAAAAATGTTTTAAATTATTGCACTAACCAACATGTACAGTGGTGGAAAAATAAATAGGGGCTCTACATTTTAATAAGTTGTTGGCTATTTTTTTTCTTTTTACAAGCTTTTATTATGTTTCACCTGTGTGTAATCTAATTTTGCAATCAATTTTAAACAAACTTGCCGATGAGCTAAAGACTTAAAATTTCTTCAGACCATTAGGTGAGGATTTATTGAATATCTCGACTCCAGCGCCACCTAGCGGATCAATTTTTAATTTAGGGTAATGTGAAAAGGCTCTTATACTAGGTTTGCGAAACTCTTAACTGAAAATATACACTGCATATATAATGAGAAATACACTTACCAAAAATAAATCCATTAGATAGCTTTGTAGTCGAGATTTGCACAAAATCCGTATTAATGGTTCGACTTAGTTCAAATCTTAAAGATTTGTGCAGTTAAAACGTAGTAGGCTACGTAGACAAAGTCGCATGGTATCAGCTAGTTTTTAATTAAAAGTATAGCCCATTTTCTAACAAAAACCATGTGAGTATCAAATTTCAAACTTCGTATAAAAATTAGGAAAATTCAACAAAGTTCCAAACTCATAAATAAGAATTTTTTAGAAAAAATTTGGTCTGCAGTTTTATACCCCATTAAATTTTTATGTAGCAGAAAGTAAGTGTTAATTTGGTGAAATGCTTCTTAAATTTTTAATAATTTTTTGCTAGATGGTGTTACTCATTTTCTTGCATGCGAAGTATGTTCGAATAAGTTTTTTATATGGGAAAAATGCGTACAAATTTTTTTCTAAAAATTCCGATTGAGAAGTTTGAAATTTTGATGAATCATTTTTGAATGTTCCAAATTTTTGTACAAAGTTTGAAATTTGGTTTATTAATAAACATTAAATAAACAAAAGAAAAATACCCGAAACTTGTTAAAATGTCGCGTCCCTATTTATTTTTCACTCACCGTGTAACGGATTTTTCTTCCCGACAGGCACTGTAATCGCTGTAATCAAAAAATTTATCATAAAGATTATCTAACTTTTATTACCTATACACACCCCAAAAATGAAAAAGGCGTTTATATATAACAAAAATTTCAGCACAATTTTATTATTAAACTTCTTTGAAAATTTTTAAGAAATTAATACAATATTAGTTCATAATTTGTCTTTACCCATTTTAAATTCTAATAAATCTCTATAAAATTCATTCGGACAAACTACACTTACACCAAAAAAGTGATTTGTCAATATGTATATGTATGTGAACCTGAAAAAGAAATAAATGTAAATTACCCTTCTGATGCGTTTCTGATAAAAAAAAAATATAACTTTCTGGAAGATTATATGCGTTTGCATACTCCTAACATGATTTTCAGATTACAAAACATGCGGCTTCTTAGTCAAAAGATTTCACTACTATTTATCTAATATAGAACAATACGTTTTTGGAAAACAATGAAATATTTTTTCTGCTACTAAATAACTTTTTTTTTTTAACTCAAATTCATCAGAATGAGGAAACGTTATTCATTTAGTATTGTCTTCAAACTAGATAAATCTTACTTCTCATTTAGTTGCAGCCATCATTTGCGCTTTAATCTTTTAATGCATAAAAGTTATTAAAATATGTACCCCAAAATATCAATTGTTGGACAATGCTGTTAGTTAGACACAGCTTTAAATCGTTTAGCAAATGTTTACGTGCCACACATTTCCATTTATTTACTAAATTCAAATTGTTCTAGTGTTTGGCTGTCCTATTTACATAAGCTCAGTTTCATCTTTTGAAATTATTATTAAATTGCATTTAACACTAATGTTGGGAAGTATTTCTTTGATATTTTATTCGGTAGGTGGTTTACAAGCTTAAATCACTTAAATTGTAGTAGGTGGTTGTTGTTTTGTGCTTCTTTGATTTTAGCTTCATTCGCCATAGAAAATAGAGTTACAAGTCGTTAAAGAAACAACATCTTAAAAATAAATTTATCTTTCAAAGTAAAAATTAATTCACATCAATTAGTCAGCTGACAATTCAACTGTTGCCCTAGTCAGCAATATATGTATGTATGTATGTATGTATAAATGTAGTTAACATTTCAAAAGTCACATTAACATTAATATTACATAGTAGTTAGGATAATTCTAATGGGATCTCCACTTACTTTGCTATAAATTTGTTCACAGACATGTATGTATATATATTTTTATATATGCATGTATGTACATATATATATTTGCAAGCATATTTCAATTACACATGAACATTGCCCGATTTTTTTTTTTTAAATAAAAATTGAATCCACTTCTTTCACTTTAACATGATATTGTGAAAATACATTTACGGCTATATATGTATGTTTGTTTGTATAAGATACTCTTCTAATCATATCGCTTGTACGCTTTATTTTGTGTGTACGCTTATGCATATTTGATAAAATTTGTAACTTATGGACGCTTACAAGTTGTTTGCCCGCAAGCCCTCTTTCAACATTTGAGTTACTTCGACTTTTGTTGTTGTTGCGTTGGTGTTTCGGAGCCATAAGATGAAGCTTTGCTGATTTTCGACATATTGATCGACTTAACCATAAGTATGTAGACTGGAAAAACAGAATCCAATAATTAAATAATTTTATGAGTAAAATTTTAGCAGTTTGGGACTTACTCGCTAATAGTATGCCGACAGCAATCGAAAGGCCAATCCAATTTTGAGACAAAAATGAAGACACCAAATAGTAGAGTATTAGTGATATCGAGAATACAGCCCAGAGTGCAAAATTCAAAAAATTATATGGCCGATATTTAAAATGCATTACAGGCACTTCCTTAAAGCCAGAGGTTTCAAAGAAGCTGCCTGTTGTATGGAAACTATCGATAATGCGATCCTTTTCGCGGAATAAATTTTGTAGCCACTCAGCAGCCGCTGTCTCGTCTTCAGGCACACTCTCGAGTGGAATGCGACGTGCAAACATGAAACCCTCTATCGGAAGTCCATTCAGCAGTGTAGAGATAGTTGGTGGATTCTACAATTGAATTTGAGTGTGATCAAAGCGGTTGTTGATTATCATAACAATTGGGCAATTGTTTGTTGTAAAGCACTCACCTTAGCATCCTTTTTGAAGGCCAGGTTAATATCATAGATGGCTGGACAACGGCCACGTAAGGTGGGTAAGCTTGCAGTGAAGCCCTTTGTGCGCGGTATCAAGTGGTGCTTTAATACAGGCATACCACGCTCCTGTGCGAATTTAACAGAAGCCTCGTGTTTCTTCGGCGTGAAGCGGGTACCCTCAGCATTCAACAGCAACCATACAGGATCTGGATAGGCAAACACCTCCTTTAGTTGACGTGCAATTATCTCCTTATCCTTGTCGTATGAACGTTCCAAAAACACAAATTCAGCGAAATACCATGCCCAACCGATTGCAGGCACATAGGAAATGGCTTTCTTTGCATACGCTTTACAATTGCCTAAAACGCCATTCTTTTCGGTAAACATCCAACCGGCCAGCCAATCGACTTCATATGCATGATTCATCATAAGCATACAATGTTCTTTACCACTGTATTTCTTGAAGTCATCGGGGTCCATATAAACATGTAATTTACTATTCGAATACCACTCAGCGAAAAATAGCAGTTCTACATAATGAAAAATCAAGTAGTTCGTGGGACAGACATTTCAGTTCGATATTGTTTGCATAACACTTACGTGAGTTCAGCGAATAGCAGAGATAGTACATGATGCGCCGAAAGAGCACAACATTGAAAGGTTTCAATCCCACATGTAATATTAACTGCAGCAGATTTATCACCAATCCGGATATGAAGAAAGTGACGGCAATGCATAAGTGTATCAGTCTTAACTTTTTAAGCTCTCCAAGTGAAGACATGATTTATGTACAGATATATCATTCGCTGGTATCGTTCTCTATTAAATTGTTTTCTGTAAAGTATGAGAAAAATGCATTTGTATAAAAATTTCGTTAAAAAAATAAATGCATGTACATATAAAAAGGCGGAGGATTCTAAATTGAAATGATTTGCCTAATTCAGTTCACGAGAAAAGATTCTGCAGATTTGTTTGTGAGCCACTTTAACCGTTTTCGTTTTTCATTTTCGGTTTCGCCTATGTAATTTATAATTTTCATTCAATTTTTTGTTAATTACATCTGCCAAGTGTACGTATATATGTATGAAATTCACATTCAACCAGACTACCGAATCCAAACTCACTTTCACGCTAACTTTTTAATGACACTAATTAGCGATCAGTGCATCTCTGCTCGCCACCATTTAGCTAGAAGTACTAAAATTAGAGCGCATATGCATTCGTTAATTGATGAAAGCAAAATTCGTATATATAATAAATTCACAATTAAATATCGATTGAATAGATTTGCAAATATGTATCAAAATGATACATTTAGCAATAGCGACATTGTAGTAATAAAAATGCTTATCAAACATAAATACATATGTATGTATGTATGTATGTATGTATGTAGATATGTGCAGAAACTGCTGGCGCTTCAAGTGTGACCAGGTCAGCAACTGAAGGCCAATTCTCGTTCCGTGAAAAGGTGAAGTGAAAACATTTTTCTTCACTTAAGAGTGAATTTCAACCCCAATCAATTCGATTTCAAAGTGACTTTGGTTCAAATTCACTCGGAAGTGATTGGGAAAAGTTTTTACCAGAAATTTTTTTTTGGATTCAGAAAAGTTCAAAAACCACTTATGATTTTTGATAGATGATTACATATGTATATGTCTTTATAGATCGAGAAAGATAAAATGATTTGATAATTAGAAAAGAAAACAAGAAAATTTCACAGATTTTGAATCTTTTCTTTTTCACTTCATCATTTCAAAAGATTTAAATTTGCCCGCTGGAAAGCTATTTCAAACTTTCTATGTATGTAATGAGCTAGCCTTTGGCGTGACCTTTTGTAAGGCACTTGGGAGTAGTAATGTAGTCAATTGTGTTCTTTTCTACAAGTATTATCTATGGTTAAACTATTTTGGCCGTTCTAAGTAGCATATCAAAAATCTCCAACGATCCATATGACTATAGCATTTCATGAGGTTAAAGGTTATAATAACTGGCCGCATTCAGCGAAAATAATAGTAAACTAGCTGCAAAAGTCTTTCGAAAGGCTAACGGTTTTTTGAGAAAGTTTCATTCAATTTGCACTAAGCTATGACTCGTTGGCTGTTTTTCGATTTAAAAAAAAAGCCTGCGGTGTGAGAGGATCCTTCTTTGATTAAATCTAGGGGAAATAACTCTAATTTTGTGAAAAGGTATTTAGAAAACACAAATACTTATTTTTTATGAATAGCCCGAAGAGAATAATCTCGACTCTGTCGGTTGCTCAGGGCTTCTAGCTTACTTTAAATTTACTTTTAAAAAGTGACAAATATTAGCCAAATTTCTAAATAGATTTTTAAAAAAGTCGATACATTTTTAAACAAAAAAAATGCCAAACAGGCTTTTTTTGCAACTGCTGAAACCAAATTTTGCAGTTAAATTAAATGGCAAAAGCTAGGTAGAGTTGTGACAATTCTAATCTGGTCACTTTGCGCGGGCCGAATGTTATTTATTAATCAAATATGAACTTTGTGTTACCGCCGCCAATCATCTCACACTATGTATTAATTCGTGTTAATTAGAAACTATGATAAGAGTGACATATTATTATGGCTAAGCAAAGTCTAACCTCTTATCTTAATAATACGCTTTTTTCGCAAAATAAACATAAATTATCGGTCGTAAAATTTTTAACCGAATTTCGTATGATAATAAGAGCTTCTAAATACGTTAGACTTTAACCCTAGTTTGATGAAACTGTAGTAGGCAGAGGAAGTGCGCTGCCATTTGTGTTTATAGTATTTATGTTCGATATCCACAATCAGTAAATTAACAAATTGCTACCTCGCTTATATAATTTTAAAGAAAATCCGTGACAAATTGGTTAGTGAACTATTCTTTAACAACTTTTAACGCACTGTTAGCTATCAAAAAAATTTATTTATATATTGCTTTTTCGTTATCAATTCGTGTTTGTGTGGAATTTACAATCTCCGAAATAGCCAAATCAATGCGGCACGAACGTATGAACATTTACATATACATACATATGTATATATATCGTCGATGTTTTTGTAAAACCGCCCATCGCCCAATTGCAAAACCGCCTATCTTACGGCACTCAAGTTTTACGGGAGAGCGAAAAAAAACGCTTTATTCTTTGAAGGCATTGCCTTGATAGGCGGTATTTTCTCCTCTAGCTATTATTTTTTCAAATCAGTTATTTTAATAACGATTTAACGACCATTATGCATAAATCGCGATGCCTGGAGTTGAGGTCTACACAAAAACAACGACGATTTAGGCGGTTTTGCAACTGGTCGATGGGCGGTTTTGCAAAAACATCGACCTCTATGTATGTATATGTGTATGTATACATTTATTTATAAGCTGATTTCAAATTGTTATTCATGCAACAAGAAATAAACAATCAATTATTTACATAAAACTCGACTAAAGTGAACGGACCAACATTATTCCGATGCAGCTCATTTACTAAAAACTGTAACAACTCGAAAAAATGGAGTTTTCAGAAAACGCGTCTAAAGATTTCATTTTACTTGAAAAGTGCAGAGAATGGAGATGCATATTTTCTTCGAACACACAAGAATTTGGCACAAAATTTTGTAGAAACTATTTATCGTGATATATCAAGTATTTCCGTATCTTTCGCTCGAAAATCGCGTTTTTTTTTTGAGTTATGACAGTCTTCTATAACATGAGTGATAAGTAAAAATTTAAACTTGTGGCTAGTGGCCACTATTAGTGCATGACTTTCGCCATGTGTACACATACATACTTACATACATATGTATGTATGTAATAATAAGAATAGATTGGCGCTTACGCGATACGTCAGTGTTTGGCCGAGCTTTTCCTCCGATTTGTGGCGTACCCTTTGATGTTATGACGCAAAGGGGAGGGACCTGCAGTTTTGCGGATGTTGGCCGGAAACTGGGCGCGAACTCGGGCCTTGCGGAATGCGGTAGTGCGTACTGCTTACCAATACAGCGCAGGGGTACTACGTATGTATGTATGTTCATAGGTACACTGCCGGAACAAAGTATTGGCACAGCAAATTTTTCACAAAATATGCAACAATTTTTATTCTAATATTTTCCGCCAATTTTGTATAAAAATATGGTTCATTCTACAACAAAAAAAAAAACATAAAAATATAATTCATAAATTTTGTGCAAAGCTCGCGGATATTCAGAAGAGGCTGCGGGAAAAAATTTCCAACAATCAATGGTAGCTAGGAATTACTGCTTAAAACTTTTACTTTATTATAATAAAATTGATTGGACTACAAATCTGCATACTCAAAAAATTCTAAAACAGCTGATTAAAAGGTTGAAAATTTGCTAAATTTTCGTGATTTTTTTCACAAAGTTTAGGAATTATATTTTTGTTTTTTTGTTGTAGAATGAACCATATTTTTATACAAAATTGGCGGAAAAATATTAGGATAAAAAATGTTGCATATATTGTGAAAAATTTGCTGTGCCAATACTTTGTTCCGGCAGTGTATCTAATTTGGGCTAAAAAGTGAAAATTTGAGAAACATCCAACGTATGTATGTATGCATGTATAGGCTTGCACATTTTTTTCTTAAATCTCGATTTGATGCAAATGTTGCGGTGGCCGAGTAGTTAGAGGTGCGGATTCTTAATTTCGTACGAATCGAAAATTTTAAGTTTTTGTATAGAAAAGTAATGGAAAATTTTCACTTTTGCACTCGTACGGAAACAAGAATACGACCCAGGGTTTGAAAGGAAAAAAAACAAATGTTGCATACAAAATTATTACATACTCGGTAGTTATGCTAATTAAAAAGTAGTTGTGCTAGCAAAAAATATCTAGAAATTTACATACATACATACACACATATGTACTGCCCACGTCTTACTTTTTGATTCGGGAATAAACTTAAGGCGCTTTGAATATCACCTACTGCTGCATTTTCAGTTTGATGATTTTCATTTAACAACAATAATTTATTCTTAAACATATGTATTTAAGTAATTTCTTGTCAGTGCTTTTGTTGACTTTACTAAAAGCTGGGTCTTTGTACGACATTCTGACCTATGTTTGTATGTATTTATCAACAGATGGGAGCAACGAAAGAAATCAAATCTATGTGGTGAGCTAATCCAGTGCACAAAAGCACCTTATATTAATCATACAATAAATATGTACATGCATGTGTACATACAAGAGGCCTGCTATCATTTATATGATGTCGTGACACATTTGCTTGAATTCCAAAATTTCATTATAGACAAGAACGACTTAACCCATGGTTTCAAGGTATTTTTTTACTTTTTATTTAATGTTTTTGTTTCTTGTATGCGTTAACCCTTTCGGTACATCTTTTTAGATTCGGGCTTTAAAAATCCGATTTTTTTATTAAATGATCCTTAATACTTAATATAATAGCATTCAATTTAATTTTTTCCAAAATGTGATTCTAAAGTGTTTTAGAATGATGTCATATGGCATCATTTGTACTAACTGCTGTAAAAAATAAGCAAGATTTTTTAATATGGTATTTTATTTTATTTAAATAAAATAAAACAACACTACAAAAATTCAATAAAATATGTTGGAACATGCATAGATTTAATAATTCATTTAAAAAATGTACCAGCTGCAATTTACCAGTACAAAGGATTTCAGCTCCTTGAAGTATTATTGATGTCATACTTATGGCATCATACAAATTTAAAAGTATACCACGCGTTTATGAGAACTATTTTTTTTTTAATTAAATTACAGGTTCTTGCGATACTTGACACTATTTTAGTAAACTATTGTATTTTAATGTAGACCTTTCTAAGCAGAAGAAAATCGATATTTAAGTAAAGTTTAAAACAAAATCATCTACTATGGACAAAAATAACAATACCATATTAAAATATAGTTATACAACTTCCCATTACAGCGTTGCATATAAGAATTTAATTTCAGCCAAGCTCAGTTAAATCTGTGAGTATTCAAAAAAGCATGACGCCATATGGCATCAAAATAGCGAAAGGTTAATGTCGCTATTAACCTACAGCGTACAGCTAGCCGCTCGTGTTTAAGGGGTTATTTATTAGTAAGAGATAGGAATAGGATATTGTTACCAGTACGGAACACAGTACAGTAAATAAAATTCTATGAAAATGACAAAACTTTGCAAACAGCAGTCATGAAGTATAGTGCATATCGATGGTCCTCTGCAATAACGACACAATTCAAAATTCAAGAAATAAAAGCTCTTACTACGGTTAAGTGGCTCAAGTCTCTAATTGATGTCTAATCCTTACTACTTGCTGTAGTAATCCCTACTACTTACTTTAGTAAAACATTAATTACACAATGATTAGAGACATGGGCCACTTAACATTGGTAAGGGATGTATTTTTTTGAATTATGAATTGTGTCATTATTGCTGAGGACCATCGATATGTACATACATACATACGTATGTAATCACGATAAATATGTATATAAATTTACACTTTAATTCACCCTTGACATGCCAATTATGCTTACGTCACAATATTAGTATTTTTATTAATAGACAACCAAGTTATAGTTTTAAAATGAAAATAAGGTGAAGTAAATAGCCTCTGCCGGTGTTCCACTAAATCATCTACGTAACATCGCAATCTAAATAGTGCTCATATTACAAATGCACCCGGTGGACAACTATTCCAGCCCAAAACCTCGTAGCTAATTTTATTGCTATAACACGCAAAGCACTTGTTAACTTACATCGTATTATTTGAAATTACCTTTGCTGCGCAGTATAAAAAAAAATAACACTGAATCTCAACTTGAAAATTTTGCTCCAGTCGCCAATAATCCAATTTCAGCAATAAACAAATTGCTCCAAAATAAAACGTCAAAAGTCATATGGTTTCAACTGTGATGTTGCCACCTCGGCTGCTTAAATCTTTTAACCCTTGCCTTTACGACATGAACGAAAGACACAAGATCACGTAAGAACAAGAGAGTGAAAAAAGTCGATTTTTTTAGCGGGTTCTACGCCATCTTGTTTCACTGGAAAACGAGCGAAAAGTAAACAAAGCAAAGAAAACAACGAAAACCAAAATTAGCCCAAATTATTGTCAACCACTTTAAACGCACAATTTAGGTAAAATGATGCAACAAAATGCTTTAAAATGTGTTGTCATGTTGAATTAACTCTTCTTTACTTGAATAAAAGTATAAAATAGTGGTGCTTGTGATGTAAACAAACGCTCAGCTGACGAACCCGCTTTCGCAAACTTTTTTTCTCAAAACCAGTTACAAATACAACGTCGCGTTCTTACGTGATCTTGTATTTTTGGTTCATGCCTTTACGATCCATTTGATTAACCATTAAGGGATCAGTAGAAAAGTTCTATGGTGCCAATCAGCGTTGCCGAAAGCTTTCGCTGGAAAATCGTAACTTTACCCTGAAAAAATCGTTATTTCGGCCAAAAAATCGTAAAATTTTGGTGTATCGTATTTTTTTAACAAAATAAAAAATACAAACGAATTACATACAATAAGTAGTATGCATAAAAACTAAGCAATTGCGTTTTCTTAAATTTGCATACCTTTAACTTAAATTTATTTGAACAAATTGAGTAAAAGGTCTGAGAAATTTTAAGAAAAAGCATTTGCTTCGGTTTTATGCCCAATAAATATGACCACACATTACAAAACCAAATGGAACCCACATTGCATATGGGTTAATTGCAATTGTCAACGGCAATTTAAAATTACAAGTTAAAACACAACTGCTTTTAAATAGTTGAACCCCACCGGGTTTAAATTTTTGAAGATTTAGGTCCAGTTTTACTGTAGGGGTTCTCACACGGAGCTTGGTACTAGGTGTTCGGTAACTTTTCCCCATGTATTTGGTTTGTGTAAAATTATTTTACTATCGGTTTACCTGGTACCGAATTATCGTGGTGCAAGCTTGATAATTTTTCTGGTAGTTGGTAAACTGCAATCAGCTGTTCGATATTTATTCAATTTTAAATCCGCCTGCTGCCGAAAGGCATAACGCATATGAGAAATAAAATTCCTTAAATTTTCTGCTAAAAGTTATTTTCTTTAGGAAGAGCTACGAATCCGCTGCTAATAAACATAGATTACCAGACTAACAAAAGAAGACTGAAAATGGCGTCCACAGTTGATAAAATTACCGAGTTTCAACCAGCAATTTACCAAAACTACCAAAATGAATGTGAAGACCCTAAGGGCCAGTTTTTCAGTGCACGACCGTGGTTTAAATTAAGTTTAAACGCTTGATCTGGCTTGTTTAAACTAAGATCAGCCAATCAAATGTCAGCCAGCTATTCAATTTAAACTCAGTTTACTCAATCTAAGTTTAACCTGGCACTGAAAAACTGGCCATTAGTGTAACTTTAGCATTGATAAACTGATAGATAATTTTGACTGAACAAATTCTCTCCTCTACTTTTCTGTCTCTTTTAAATCAGTGTCAGCAGTGCAAATTAGGGATTTGAATACAATTCTAGAACAAATTTAATACAACTAAACGGTTGTAAAACAAAAAAAAAAGTATATTATTATTATCCGCCCAAAGATCATTGTAGGTATCAATATTGAGTGAATAAGCTTCAGTAGTTACTAAAATATCGCAGTTTTCGTATTCCTGAAAACTACCATTGTATGGGAGGTAGGCCCATTTTCAATACCATCCGTCCTACGCTCAAAAGCAGTACACGTACCAAGTTTCGTTATGATATCGTAATTTTTACTCAAGTCATCGTGTGCATAAACCGACGGTCAGACATTCATCGCTTAATCGATTTATTTTTTCATTCTGAGCATTTGGCTGCATTTCTTTATTCATTCTGAACGTTTGGAATAAACTTTTTTGTTTATTTATTCTTTAGAACGTTCCTGATGATATGTTGACGTATATTTCAAACGATTCTGTTTATTCCGGCTGTGAAATTGGATTATCCGGAATGTATAAAGAAACGCAGCCTTTATGTTTGCTATTGTTGGGTGTGCTGTCAAATCAGTAAAAGCAAAAAAAAAATACATGTAAGGCGAAGAAATTAGCTGATCTAACAACACCACCAAGGCAAATTTATACAAGATGGTACTTAATGTCAAAATTATGTGTTTGTTGTAATATGAATTCGCCTTGTTTACAAAAATCACATGATTTTGACCAAGGCGTTATCGGATCCGCTGATTTCACGGCGAATTTGTACCTTTTGTCAAAATGATGTGTTTGTTGTAATTTTTGTTTTTGTGCTGTCAACACCACCTTGTATAAATTCGCCTTGAACACCACCTTTTATAAATTCGCCTTGGCACAGGCCCTAAATTTAAGCTATATTTTGCAATCATTTCGGGGCCTTGAAAATAACGTTTTTGAGCCTTATAGTTAATCAATTGCTAAATAAAATTATGTGCGTTTCATGCTAAACGTAACATTGACCGCAATTATAGTTATTGCGTCTGCAAACAAAAATCAGCTGTTATTTATTAAACAAACAACGTAATGTTTAACGTAAACTAAAAATTTAAAAATTAATTGCTATTAATTAATTGCTGTGTTGCTAACGGACAAACGTTAAAAATGAACGAACAGTAAAGAAAAATCGACGAACTATCGATTGCAATACAAAAATCCTAATATTTATACTAAGTCTAGGTTCAGACACAGAAACTTTTGTCGCGGCAACTCGTTACTTGTGGTAAAGGGAGTGACGAGGGAGGGGAAAGGACACCGATTTGTTCGTGCACGGGCAACACGCTTCGTGCTCTCGTTCGTCTGAGTTATTATAGTTGGACGTTCACAGCTGACAACAACAATTGTGTACAAAAGAATTGATCTGTGTGAACGCGAAGGGCAACACCAAAAAAGAAGTTCCGAAAATGAGCAACAAAAGTTTCTCTGTGTGCATCCAGTCTAATGAGATGCCAACGTCGGTAGGTGCGCGGATTTATGGCAGCACGACCGCATAGTGTTGCCAATGACGCGTGTTTGTTATCATGTCACGTTGACAGCTGTAGCACAACACTAATCGGTTTCTATTTTTATTTATTTATTTTTGATAATACGACAGAAAGATTAATTGAAATTAAATTAAAAAAAAACAACTTCACACATTCGATTAGGTTGATATTAGAAGTTTATTTTATAGCTATAATCATAAGAGGGCATACACCCCGGCAAAGGTCGTCTGACGGTAAAAATTTATAAATTGGTTGGGCATTCTTTAAAAAATTCAAAATTTAACCATAAATATCATAAAATTATATAATATAATATTTCATACGTTCCGTATAACAATGTAGATATTTTTGAAAGATTAATCGTATATTTAAAGCATGCGCAATAATTAGTGTACCTACCAAATCAAAGTTCATATTCCGATAAACATATGTACATAAGTATACTTATACTTATCTATCTTATTATTATTATCTTATACTTATCTATAGATATGTTATTGCTTTAACAGATTTTTTATAAGCGCAGGTCTCACTGCGGAGTTATTCTATTAAACTTTCATCATAGAAAATACGTTCGAATTGGTAGGCTCTCAAGTACCAATGGAATCCAAATTTGATTTGTCACGACGATATCGACATGTAGGCGATTTAACGGATGAACCACCAACGCGTGAAGTAAATACAAAGATTTCCTATATGTATACAGAATAAAATACTTACTCATATTATTTATCTTGTTTGAAGTTTGCAGAGATTACTATACCCGTACCGTGGGGTCATTTGTCCGGCAAATGGTTTGGTCCGCAAGATGTTCAACCAATACTCGGTCTGCATGGCTGGCAAGATAACGCTGGTACATTTGACTTGCTTGTGCCGCTTTTGCCTCCAGACATTCCATTCCTTTCGGTAGATCTACCCGGTCATGGGCTGTCATCTCGACTACCAGATGGCTGTTACTACAACACAACTGACAATCTGTACGTAATACTTATTATAATGAAGCAATACAAATGGCAAAAAGTCTCCTTAGTCGGCCATTCTATGAGCTCTATAATTGCATTTGTATTCGCTGCGGTTTTTCCTGACAAAGTGGACATGGTTATTGGTTTAGATGCACTGAAACCACATCAGCGTCCCCCTGCCAGTTCAATACGCAGCATGGAAACACGCATGGATGAATTCTTAAAAGAGGATGAGCGTAATCGTTCCAAGGAAGAGCCACCAAGCTATTCCTATGATGAACTCATCGAACGTATTTTTATCGGTACTTTTCACTCAATCAATAAGGACCTCTGTAAACATATGCTTGCACGCAATATACAAAAATCGGAAAAATATCCAGAGAAATATTTTTTTAGCCGGGATCGTCGCTTGAAATTTTACAACTATTTGGTTGGATCACAGGAACTTTGTGTAGAGATGGCTAAACGTATTGAGTGTCCTTACTTGTTTATTAAAGCGCGGCAATCAACTTATTTCGAGGACAAAAAGTATTATGATGAAGTGCTGGCGATACTACGAACAAAATCGAAGTTTGAATATTTCGAGGTCGATGGATCACATCATGTACACATAAATAACCCAGAACGCATCAGTGGAGTAGTAAGCGATTTTATTAATCGTTTTGGTCCTTTGGCAAAGCATAGTGGTCCATCTCCCAGCAAATTGTAAAGATGAAAGCTTTTTTATTTTGTTTTTTAAAAGATGTATTATATATTTACATATGTACATATGAAAGTATACGATTGGTATTTACTAAAAGAAATTTGTATATATGTATAAATATTTGTTGGGACTGACATTTATTATAACCTTTTAAACATACAAATCTTTAAGAAAAATGTATGTATGTATATTTTGTATGCATAAAAGTAATTTTTAAGCAAAAAAACAAAACGGACT